CAGTCTGGACCAAAGCAGTGGACCATCTCACTGACAGACCTACATCGCTCGCCCTAGACCTTCTAGCATGGTTAAAAAACACTAAAATTGGTAGTTGGGGTTGTAAAAACTTTCAAAAGAAGCTCAGTATTTCCAGAGTCAGTCATAATGTTGGTTCAGCTCTCAATCATTCTCAAATTTTTCACTTCAGGTATCAAAACTAGCATACTTATCTTGAGACCCCTGTCAGAGTTAAAACATGGTGTTGGTGCCACTTTCGATCCTGTTACAACATCTGTAAAACTTAAGCGTCCCTTTAGATGATTCACAAGTCAATTCTTCTCATTATATTCCACTGTATCAGGTCACACTGCAATGTTTACATGAAGCCAGTGAGGTCTTTAACTTCTCTCCCTGAAGGTGAATGTGATGTTATTAGGCAGCCCACAATGTTTCAAAAGCATCCCTGATGACTACATAGCAGAGTTACTGTTGACAATTTGTCCCATTTTTACCAAGGAAATGATTTACGCAGAAGTGAACCACAGAAATGTCAAACACTGATCAAAACCAGCGAGTCACTCAGCAGTGATGTTTGTGTTCTTAAACTGTATTTCTCTTTCGTGTTTATTTTTATGCAGGGTGAGCTAAAGTGCAATAACCTTACTTCAGGTTGGCTGATTTTACATGAAGCAGTCGTTAATCACTTTAGCTCTGAAGTAGCCCTCCAAGGCAGCAATGGTATCCGTTGCGGTAACCAATCTGAACAGCACTAATGTAGGTTGCAGATTGTTTCCATATGGGGCCTGTTTTCAAGTGGAGTCAGCTAACTTGGGTCTAAAAAAACAGCTTCCATCTCATAGTTTACCCACTTTTGAGCGCGCAATGTGAAATAGTTAGACAACTTTCGCACTAGCAGTCATAACAACACAGTCCACCTTTAACCTTGGCAGATAAATCAACAAGAGGTTGCTGGAAATTCTCAAGAAAAACTACCAGACCAGTTATTTCTACTGCCAGTTAGTCATTTACAATAATTAATGTAAAAATATGAAGCCTATTAATTGGATGATGGCTTTTAAAAAACAAAATGACGAGAGAAAGTAATTTGAGACAAAAATCAAGTAGACAGGGTCATTAAATGTAAATAAAAAAGGATTAAAGTATTAAATATATATAAAGTATTAGTCAAAACACATTCTCTGGTTCAAGCTGCTCTAATGAGAAAAGGCCGCTTCCTGAATATAAACTGAATATTTTTGGGGTTTTGGACTGTCAGACAATACATTTGAAAACATCACCCTGGGCTCAGCCCTAAAATGTATATCTTTAACCCGTGGTCAGTTGTAACAAGAGTCACATTTTGCTAGCCTAATATTATCATTTGAACTATTCCGCATCTTACTTGCCTTGACTGAAAACTCCCATCATATTTTATTCAACTGTATAGATTTTGGAGCAAAACTGCATTAGTCATTCAGGCGAAGCAGCTACTAGACCGAGACGTGGGGTACCGGCGTAGGAATCGCCTGCTGCAGTAAAGCGCCAGGTGCTAGTCAGCCAGTGAAAATAATATAGGTATCTATATAATCTAGGCTGTATATAATAAAAATACATGTTTCCAGCACATAACATTGACAGTAACATACTGAAAAAACATGCCATCTTTAAATAGTCAAGTACTCTCCCTTCCCCATCTGCATAATGTGCCACTTTTAGATCAGTGTAGTCTTTGAAATGTATATGAAGTGTTTTGTACTCAAATTGTCAGAATAAAAGACTCTTTCTCTGCCCTTCACAGTGCTCCCCCACACTTCCCATTTCCTTTCCTCAAACACTTGCCTCACTTCCCACCCTCTCGGTCCTCAAATGAGCCTCTATCTGGCCCACTTCTACCAGGGCGACCTCTCTAACCTCTCCGTTGCCCCTACTTGAAATTACCATGCTGTGTGATGTGGAGGCCTATATGTATGCCTGCCCGAGCTCGACCCCTGCGGTAAGCTGCCGCACCAAAGTCCACGTTCCAAAGTTACAGAGCTCCTGCAGCGATTCTGGCATGGCTTCAGAGGATGACAGCTGACGGGGGGGGNNGGGGGGGGGGGGGTGCTTCATGTCCAGAGGTCCAGCCTCCTGCCATGCCAGGTCCCAGGTGTGCATCCTTTCGTGGAAATAATGTGTCCTTTTTCCCCCCATTTATCTTTTGTGCATCCGAGGTAAATTAGCATTTGATGTAAGTACAGCAACGACTAGGGACTGGAGTAAAGTAAACTGAGAAGGCTAATGGAGAAATGTCAACCATAGTCGACTGGAGGCACTGGGGAAAAGTATAGGATTATGCTTAACCTGGCAGAGACACTATTACTGTACACACATTCTTATCCAGTATCTGCTAGCACCAATTAGACTGCACTTAATGTCAGTGTGAACAGTGATTGACTGGCAGGCATTGGCAGTAGAATACCTCTTTTAATCCATTTAGTAATTAAAGATATGAAATTAGATATCTAGTTATCTATGCACCATGTTAAAGGCACCTAAAGCACAAGGCTGTCTGGAGAGTAAGGGCCATAAAAAAATGATTAGTGAAGAACCAAACTCCCTTGAGGAAGACAGTTTGACTAAGCGTTTGTGGTTAATATGCAATGACTGAACAAATATTTTACAAGTACAATCTTCTGTAGCAAAGGCAGGAGGTGTGTAAACCAGATAAATGACTCAACAGACATCCAATTTCAATGGTTTATGCCAGAGTAGTAAAAACGACAACTGCTAGGCTCCTGTTTGCTGTGGTTATAATATTTAAATTATACTTGCGTGACTTACAAAGCCATCTTCTCCTGTGCCACTGCGTTGAATGCCAACTGAGAAAATTGGGATTACTCATTCAATATTTCCAATCTTTGTTTAGTAACTGAAAATATTGGGATTTGTGATTACAGTCATTGTTGAAATATTGATTTATGTGTGGGCAGCAGCAGCACTTTCACTCATGTGGAACTGCGGTTTGAAATACAGTTCTCAAGAAAGGGCAAACAGTTACTGACAAAGCAATTTTCCACTCAAGGTCTCCATAATACATTAAGAAAGGCTTAACGTAACACAATAGATCATGGTACGAAAACTAAACTATATTTCACTGGCTGGATGCCTCCCATATGACAAGACTGTAATTACAACGGAATATAAATAAAAAGCCTCTTCAATACAGTATGCATAGTCATGTAAGAAACCTCTTAAGTGGAGAAAACACCTGAGAACCTATTGACCTTTGCTTGATCACTTTGCCTTTGCCTGAGTTGGCAGGTACAAGAAATGATAACTGTTCTATATTGTTGTATTTAGTGGATGTCTAACAGTGCAAGAAGTAAGAGGACAGTGTTGTTTTGGCTCTGTACTCCAGCACATTGGGAGACATTGACCAAATTAATAATTTCAATCAAATCATCATAGGTAAAGTACAAACTTTCAGCTTTAATTTAGAGCTGCTCTAGTCAATATGTTTATATTAATAATGGATGATTTAACCAGCCTCTCTGGTCCAAAGTTTTCAAGCTTGTGGTCAGACATGTGCTCTGTTACACCTGTAACCACACCCAATAAGCCATGTCATGGTGTACTGGATTTCCCCTGTTACTGCAGCAAGGTGAAGAAGTTAAACCACAGGAGGGCAGCAAAACCAAGTTTTTCAGGGGGCTTTACATTACTGTTTATTAGGGTGATATTTCAGAGGTTACAACTGGTGGCGATGCCCAAAAGTGGCAAAAAAATAAATAAAAAATGAAGTAGATTCAAGGTGTTTATGTCCACATTTGATGAATGATGCAGAAATGTCAGCCCTTTTTACAAAGCCCCCGAGGGTAAAAAGGCCTTAACCGTTCCCGTTTGGATGTGAACACTATCAAAACCCTGAACTTTGAAAGTCATGTGGTGGTCCTGGCTCCTGGTGTTTTTGTTAGGTCATTGTGCTGAAGTAGAGAGCACATTGCTGTCCTATTATTGACACACTTAACATACAAATACATCATTTAAGGAAAAGCTGATCTCTGAAACTGGACAAAGAATGAGTGAAATGTGTTGATGAGAAAACATTTTTCCACACGTTTGGACTGGTCTTTATTCTTCTGGGCTCCAATGGATGCTGAGCGTGGTGTAGGAATAAGAACGGCTGAGAACAATATGGGCAAGTGTTTCATCAGACATCTGTCATCTCGTCTTCCATCTCATCCCCCTCTGTTTCACCTTCTGCCTCGCCTTCTTCTTCCTCTTCCTCCTCTGATGTCACATCCAGCTCATCCATCTGGGAGACACACTTTGGACACGAGCAGACGAACAGGTAGTTCTCCCTGGGAAGAAAAAGTTCCACCAGTCACATTGTTGCACCTCTAACAATGAATTAATCAGAGGCATTTTAAGCTCCGCTGTTCAGAGAACATGGTGCTGTTCCTCAGCCTCTGCACACTAGAGCAGTGTTTAATACCATAATTAATGGTTGTCTTGCAATTAATACTTTCATCTGGTGTGATATGGGGGTCCCGAAAGTGCACACCACCAGCTCGGAGTGCAACTGCACCTTTTCTGACAATTATCACAGGGTGCAGTAAAAAAACATCTCAGAGACTTGTATAACAAACTGGATTCCACTGAGCATTGGGGTGTGATTCAAAGAAGGATTGATATCATGTTGATCAATGAGCTAGAAACCCCTGGCATCTCTGCCTCAAGACTGCTCATTATTGCCTGGAAGGCTCTTTATTGATCCAAATGGAATTCATAACAGTATGACCCCGTTCAAGTGATTCATCCAAGGGATTACAGATGTTTACCTCAGAATTTTGTGTCTGCTATGACGGCTTCGGTCCCGCTGACAGCAGTCCAGATAACTGATGCAGATCTCCTGAAAATCCAAGAAAACAAACAGCTGAACTGGATGACCTAACTGAGCCTAGAAGTCCTAATAATTACAGTTTGGTCCCATAAAGATGCTACTGGTACTTTTTAAGTGGCAAAAAATAATCCATTTTTTTCTCTCATGCAGGAAGTTGCTGTGTCCTTCTATCTTTCTATTGGTGAAATGTTACACAGCGTGCTCCTTAGGGAGCATTCAAAGGAGAGCTTTGCTGTGAAAGTAGCACGGCTGCTGTGACATTACTGTGCCGCGCAGATGCAAGGCTTCTCAATCTTTCTGACAGCTTGACAAACCCACTCCAATCCTCAAAGTCTCAGCCTTCTAATACTGTCTGACAAGGGAGCACACAAAGCTAGAGAGGGATGTTCTGTCCCGTCTATCCCAGGCCAGAATTTATCACTCCAAACCCAGACGTGTCAGCTGACCTCTCCTGGGTTGATGTCACTAAGGGCACTGAGCTTAAGCAGGAAGTTGTTGTTTGGGAAGGATGCCTCTGCGTTGGGTATGCAGCTGTGGTTACCTGCGGGGGTTAAAGAGGCAAAAAAGGGGTCATTAGACGGTCTTTGACCAGAGTAACAGTGTGTTTGAACTGAAGTGACAGCACTCATAACATGGACATCATCTGCACTTACATGAGCTTTGAAGCAGAAAAAGTCCAGAGCCCTCGCAGTTTAGAAAGTCTCCCGTTTCTATAGAGAGAAGAGACAAATAATGCACATTTATAACCGTTGTTGAGATCTGATCCCAGTTTACATAATAACAACAACAACAACAACAACAGCAGCAATGTCATTGGGTGAACACTACAACACACACAATAATAAACACTCACTCATACAATATGACCACTGCAAATCTGCTCAGTTGAGACAAAAATAATTTACTCCCAATAACACTGCAAGACTGAGATAAAACTGTGACCTTTCTCAATGTCCTTGTATAGCTGGTCGATAAAAGAGTCCAACTGCTCCCTCTGCTGGGCAGGGAGCTCAAGTGCGTCACAGGCATGAACCCACTGACTCAGGGAGCTGAAATTCAATAGAAAAAATGGTAGCACATAGAGAACAATCTGAGCCAAACTTGAAGTGAAGGACAGGTGAGGCGAGTGTTTACCTGGTGCCGATGCCTTGTCCGTTGGTTCCCACAAGAGCAAACAGAGAGCGGAAACCCTCGGGGACAAACCACTGCAATACAATCAGCTTTATTTATTGATCCATGCTGAAAGATTGGCAATTTCATTTAACCCCTTTCATATTAAGGTCAGAGGGTTAGCTGCATTATCTCTTGAAATGGTAAGAATTCACAATCTGTACATTTGCTTTCCAGTTAGGTCAGCATATAAACATTATTCTGGATGTCACACCCAGTTCAATAACATATTTCATTAACTTTATCATAATGTCTTATATACATTTCTGTAAACTGTGTGGTAAAGGTTTCCTACAACACCCAAAATATATATAGATAAAAATCAGAGATCCATTGGACGGCAAATTTGAATAAGTCAACTTGCACTGCGATTGCGATGTCCATTAACATTTTGAAGACCTTTCATGTCTGCAACAGCCAAGCATAACAGTTAGCTTAACTTAGCATAAAGACTGTAAACAGGGGAGAACAGTTAGCCTGGCTCCAACGATAAAAAAAATCTGCTGCCCCAAATAAATAAGTGTTTAAGATTTCCCAGAGGCTTGTGATCCCTGTGAGGTAGACAGGCAACCAGCAGAGACTCCAGGAAATCACTGCTTCCGGACAGGAAGTCGAGCATGTAACGCCCCGCAACACTGTAACATGTTGTTTTTACCCTTTGGTTTTTGTACAGACTGAAACAAGATATAAACTGTTAATTAGCTATTCTTAGAGGGGCTGGTAGCTACATATTTTTACCTTTGGACCGAGCCAGACTAGCCATTTCCCCGTTTCCAGTTTTTATGCTAAGCTACGCCAACCAGCTGTTGTAACCATTAGTACACATATGAGAAAGCCATCAATCTTCTCATCTAACTCTAAGCAAGAAGGCAAATAAACGTATTTCCAAAAATGTCAAACTAATTATTTGATCAAGAAAAAAACGCTTTAATGAATTGATGATGAAAATATTTATATTTGAAGCACTACAGCTGTAAAGTGTTTGGTTAAACTACACATAGGAGAACATGAAAAAACATGCAATGGTTACATTAGAGCTGTTCTTTCTTACCCGAGTCAGATGATCATCATAAAGTGCCGCTTTGAAAAGGGTGTGTAACAAGGCCAACTGCCCCTATAGAAGCAATGTTAGACACATTAAAATTACATTTTTACACACATCATAAGCATATGTGGCCACAGTGGGAATTAAACCTGTGTCAGGGGGATAACACTGGAATGCTTTGCTCACTGAGCTGTAAAGGACTGTGATTAGCAGGATATTGTCTTTGAACTGCCAGACTTAATACATTTTGCACTTAAATAATTTCATCTTTCAAGCAGAAATAACATGATGATAACGTACTCTGAACTGATCTCCCAGGAGCTTATGGGCGATCTCTTCTTCCTCATTAGCTGCCCGGCTGCAGAAATATGAAAACAGCTTCTGCCAGTGCGCTTTGTCTTTGGCCTGGACAACATAACCAATAACCAATATTAATAACAAACATTGTGTCAGTTATTACACTGTGTTTTATTGTAAGTATGCAGGATATCTCAGTATATCAAGTTTCAATGACTCATCTTTTCAAGGATGATCTGTTATCTATTCTATTATTATCTATTATCTATTCTAATTCACTATGCCAAGTTGAATCAGAATATGCAAACCACCTATTTACACATCCCTACTGAGCAAAAGCATTAACGTTAGCGTAATGAAGTAATATTATTCTAATATTCCCTATCCTTTTAGCCGTGTTGTGGTCTCTCCTAACTCCTGAGGGGAAATAGCTGGCTCTTTAGCTGCTAAACACAACTGACCAAAACAATGAGCTGAAAGATGTTAATACACTGTAAAGGGGACTGCAGGGTCAGGTGTCAGGTGAGCGAACCCCTCTATGTTATGTTATGCATCCCATGTTTATACAGATATACTGATGTGAGCAATATAAGTTTTATATGTATGGATATGTGCACAACATTTTGCTTTGTTTATTGCTGGTCAGATGTCTGTATTAGTCAGGGCAAAGCTAATTTCAAGCTAGGTTTAACAACATAAAAATGGATTTAAAATGATTAAAAAAAATTATGGAACGATTGGGAGTGGGAAATAAAAATCTAACTACATGCAGCATCCTTTTATGGCAAGGTGTTTATATTGTGTTTCTAATATTTATCTAGTTTTTTTGGCATGAACACCCGCAAGATTCGTTCACAACCTCAAATAACCGTCAGACTGCTGAACAGACTCGCCTGTTTGACCACAGCTACCATTCTGGCCATAAGCATGATGCTGGAGGTCTCTGGGGGATAATGCATACTCCTGAAGAGAAGGCAAAAGATCATCATTTAGATGAATGAAAACAATACAATTAAATAATGTGTTATGGTTAGGGTTAAAGATCTATAAAAACATGCTGTCACCTCCATGCATCTTTAAGCTTGTTGATGGGGTGGTCCGGATCTTCCTGGGAGGAACCCAAACACAGAGCTCGATGATACTGATCTGCTGCAGCTTGTCGACACTCGCTGCTACAGTACATCACCTGCAGAGAGAGAGAGAGA